GGCCTTCCAGGAGTGCCTTATCCATGGTTTCCAGGTGCCAACCACCTACCAGCACATCCCTGGCCTTCCAGGAATGCCTTATCCATGGTTTCCAGGTGCCAACCACCTCCCAGCACATCCCTGACCTTCCAGGAGTGCTGCCAACCCCCCACCCACAGAGTCACCCTCTGCTTTCTGTCACCACGCTGGCAGTGGAGGGGCTCCAACAAATCCATTGCCTCTTCTTTTCCCGGGTTTTTTCCCACATCCCGGGGCTCAGCTGGTGTTTTTTTCACTCCTTCTTTAGTCCTTCAGCCCCACCTAGTGCTAAAGCCAAAGAAAAAAACCTTGTTCTTTAATTAAGCTAAATAAAAAGCCTTTTTCCCCATCCCTGGAAGTGTCCAAGGCCGGGTTGGAGCAACCTGAGCTAGTGGAAAGTGTCCCTGTCCGTGGGGACAGGATGATTTTAAGGTGCCTTCCAACCCAAACCTCGCTGGGATTCTTTCACCAGCCTAAAACTGGTCCCTAAAGTCCAAAGCAAAGCACGACTCCTTTGCTTTGCAGGGAATTCTGCAACCCCTGGGCCTCTGCAGAGGGGTTTTGGTGAAAATGATGCCTCAGAAAAAGGGGTTTGCAGCCTGTGCTCAGAGAAACATAGAGGCAAAACACCATCATCACCTGGCAACCCTACACAAACATGTTCTCCATCCTGCCTTCTCCAAAACTTACATTTAAAATGTTCTTGAGCCCTTAAACACAAATCCCTTGGAAACAGTGCATTTTTCAGTGTTCTAGTGCTAATTATGGTGAAGGAAAACCTTTTCTCCCCCCCCCCCCCCCCCCCCAAAAGTGTCTTTTGGTAGAAATGTTATTTAGAAATGGAAAATTTTAAAGCCAATAATTTTTACAAGCCAGGGTTTCTGTTCTCCTTCCCATCACCTTGCCTTGAATGCAAACAAAGATCAAGAGGACGGATATGTTACGTTTAAATTGTATTAAACTGGGATCAAAACCTGAATTTATTTCCTAACATTTGCTAAAACATCACAGAGCAATGACAAGCACGAGAACAGAAAGGTTTCCTGTCGACCTTACAGCAGCCCTGATTTTTATTTCCCTGCCACGGACATGAGATTAGATCATCCATTATCAGCCTCTGAGGCTACACAAATTTGTCAAGTGTTCCGCAGCAAATCCCCACTGCAGCAAAGCTGAGAATTTGGGAAGAAATCCTCTGTGGTTTCTATTCCCAACACGTGAATTTGGGCTGTTCATTTGGGAGGGTCCCTACCTGGCATTTCCACTCTAAATAAATTGTATTTGGAGTCCTGCAGCCCTCTGGGCTCTGACTTACTCTGTTATCACATCAGACTTTTCATACTCACACTGACTTGCAAGTACTCACTGTGGAAACAAATGTACTGGGCTCTGGGTAATTCCCAGCATAATTTAAGCACTAATTAAACAAAATGGATTTTTATCATGATTCTTAAATATTTACCCAGTGCAAGGAGCAGCCCCCAAGATCACCACACACTCACTGAGGAACAGGAGAGTGATGCAACGTTGTGCCTTAGTTAAGACAAGAGAAAGGACAACACTGCCCAGAGAGTAAGTCCATGCAAACAACTTGGATTTTGTCAAAGTGATTAATTCTTTTTCTCACTGAATGACTAAATCTTTCCACACTGACCAAAGGCAGATGAATGTGAGCAGCAGGGACAGATCTTTGGTTCTGTGCTGCCCCCAGCTGTCCTTAATATAATCCTGAACTCAGACAGAAAGGTTCAGAGGTGATGGTCGAGGGCAGCACCACTGCAAAGTCAGATTAGAGCAAATATAACTTGCATAATGAGTATTTTCTCAGGATCAAACCCCTACCTGTATACTGGAGTCACAGCACAAGCTTTGGCTCTCACCAAACCCCGCTGCCAAGAGATGGAGCTTCCTCTCCACACCCTCAATTTAGAAGGTACCACCCCTTCCACCAGCAGAAACATTGATGAGATTGCTCCTCACCTCCTGCAGGCAGAGTGAGATTCATTTAATTGAATTGATTAGCTCTTTAGGCTACTTTGGGTGATTCTGCCCAGCAGAGTTTCCCTGTGGTGACAATTCTCTGGGAGTTTAGATGAGCAGTTGGCCTTTGGAACTCTGAGCTTCCCTTTGAGATCTGCCCTGCAGGGAAACCAGGGGTGCTGTGCAACCTAGAGCTTCATTTTTGGTGCCTTCCAGCTGATATTTGCCACAAGTTTCAGGGTGTAATCACATGTTTGATCAAGCCTCGTGCCCCATCTGTGTCACTCCAGAACAGGACTTGAGGTTCACCACTGAATACAGACAGATTTGAGGATTAACATGAAACCAGATAGTTCTGTGTGCCTTTTTTTGCCAAAACCTTCCCTCAGGTAGATCCCAGAGAGGATTAGGTACCTACTCAGAGATTTTTTTTAAAAACCAGGCCCATCCTGGCAGCTGAGCTGGCAGCACCTCTCCTGGATCCTCTCTGCCCAGCTGGGACAGGAGCAGTGCCCTCAGAGGGTTGTGGCTTTGTTTCAGCACAAAATTGCTCAAACATCTGCAGTGTTGTTTGAAGGAACTTGTTTGACAGAGCCCTAAAACAGGCTGGGAGCATTCCAGCCACCAACTGCATCTGTACTGGGAAAAACCATAAGAAAGGTTGGAATCCTGCTTAGGAAAACCAGGCAGCAGTTAAGGAATACTCCAGGGTTGTACACAACTGTAGGCTGACACTGCTGTGTAAACACGTTAATATTTAATAACATGTTAATATTTTAATAATGTTCAATGCAAAATCACCTTCTCTGGTCTCTGATATAGTGAGTCAATGTGGTAAATCTGACAGGGAAGTTTTCCAAGAGCCTTTTCAGCCAGGAGAACCAGCATTTCCACAGCAATGGAAGGAAATTCTGGGCCTGGATGCTGCCAAGGACTCCTTCCAAGCATCTGCAGCTTCACCTCCTCTGGACACAGAGGAGTTCCCAGGTGCCAGCCCAGGACTCCTCTGAGGGAGCTCCAGGAGGTGTTTAGTCCATGTTACAGAATCTGCTGAGCTGGGAGGGACCCACAAGGACCATCAGTCCAACCCTCAGCCCTGCACAGGCCCAGCCCCAAGAGTCACCCCCTGTGCCCCAGAGGATCATCCAAACCCTCCTGGAGCTCTGGCAGCCTTGGGGCTGTGCCCACTGCCCTGGGGAGCCTGGTCAGTGCCCAGCCACCCTCTGGGAGAAGAACCTTTGGCTGAGACACAGCTCCAGCCATTCCCTGGCTGCTGTCCCTGGTCCCCCCAGAGCAGAGCTCAGTCCCTGCCCCTCCTCTGCCCCTGCCCAGGAAAGTGGAACTGCAGTGAGGTCTCCCCTCAGTCTGCTCTGCTCCAGCTGAACACACCAAGTGCCCTCAGTGTCCTCACATGGCTCCAAATCAAGGCCCTGCACCATCTCCCAGGGCTGAGGCTGTGCTGGCAGCCACCCAACACCTCCATGTTTGCCCTGGGCAGAGGTGGAGTCCCAGGAGCTCGGTGCAGAGTTTCCTGGAGCAGCTCCCCAGAGCCTGGGCTGTGCTGGGCAGGGCTGTGCCCGTGGAACGTTGGAGGCTCCCCCGGAGGCGGTGGAACGCTGGCCGTGGAACCCCCCAGGAGGTCACAAAGCCAGGCCGTGGTTTCCAGCGTGGGGAAGGTGCTGTGGGCACCACTCCAGCAGTGGCACCGCCGCAGAAGTGGCACTGGAGGCTCTGGTGGCACCTGCAGTGGCAGCAGTGACGATGCAGGGGCGACGGGCCCCCGTCGGCCGTGTCCTCCTGGTGGGGCTGAAAGCCCTGGCAGCCTTTGCAGCCCTGGCAGTGCTGGTGGCCCTGTATGCCCACATCACCACGAGGGGCCAGGTGGATAAGTCAGGCCCATTGGGAGCAGGTAGGTGGGCAGGGAAGGACCCGTACCCGGCACGGCCCCCACAGATCCCACAGGTCCTGTCGGGTCCTGCAGGTCATCCCTTGAACGAGCGTTTCGGTCCCAATCTTCTGTGGATATAAAATTTAACAATCATTTTTTGGGCAGTCGTGCAGCAGAGCAGAGAGGGAATGGGTGGGGCTCAGGGATGGCCCCGGGGCACTGGGATACACAGATTCCATGGCCCCGAGCTGCTTCCAAGGGTCACTGCAACACCAGCGGGCTTGGGGCTGAGTTCAGGGCTGGTGTGAGCGGCAGAAACTCTTTCTCCTGACAGCTCCTGCACTGCTCAATTTGGATCATGATGGCTCAGGCACCTTCCCACACGGTGCTCCAGAGAGGGAGGGACAGACAGTGCCAAGGAGCCATTCCATGTCCAAACAACAGTCAGATCCAGGGAACTACGAGGAAGTAGTTCAGTTGAGCATCTCTGTTCTGTTCCCAAATGTGTCTGGAGGCAATGGAGGAGATGCAGGTTCTGGATCTGGCTCTCCTGGAGGTCACATGGATACATCTTCCCTTTGGGAACTGCCAGCTCAGAGCCCAACTGTGAGCGAGGCATCTCCTGCAGGTGAGAGAACCCAGCCCTACCTGTCCTGCTCCCTGTTCTAGGGTTCAGGCAGCACAGGGGGTGCCCCAGGGTGTGACAACAGCTCCC